CTCACAAACTCAAATTCGAATGTCTGTCAAACAAAACAATAACAATATTCATTTTCAATTTTAATTTTAACGGATTTTTTATTGTTTGTGAGCAAAAGAAAACTGAAAATTTGTTATACCTATTCATTGATAATTTTTACAATAATCGAAGAAACATGACTACCGCCGCAGTCAAAAGTAAATCGGCAATAACCGTTAAAGGCTCAGCAGAAATTGTATGCGAATATTTAAGTAAGTCCTTTGTTGTGTGTTGCAGGGGGCATTAATAAACAATAATTTCAGATTTTGGAATAAATTCTATCCTATTTCAACGAGGAATTTACCCTCCAGAGAATTTCCAAAATGCAGAAAATTACGGATTGAATATTTTGATGTCGACTGATAATAAGATCAAAGAGTTTTTGGCAACAACTCTGGAACAATTAAAAGGTACAGACGGAACTCTTGGTAATTTTGGAAAACACTAAAATTAAAATAGGTTATTAGAGATTAGAGTATTTAGTAAATGTTGAGTATAGTTCTAGAACTAATTTAGATTGATCAAATCAAATCAAATCAAATAACGCTTTATTGTCTAAAGAGTAAACTCATTGACAAAGCCTAAAAAATATAAATTTAACCCTAAATTCTAAATCTTAGCAATACTCAATACAAAATAAATTATAGACACATAACTTAGGGCTAGTCAATTGTTCAAATATACTACAAATACTATTCCGATTAGATAAAATTAAGTTAAAATACAAAATTTACACAAAAACAGGAATACTTTTTTAAAATCTCGATATAATAGTTAAACAAAACAATCAAAGTAAAAATTAATATAAGATTAAACGACTAAAAAACATCCTTATAGAACTCTTCTAAACTATAGTATGCCTTCAATTTTAGAACGGACTTTACAGATTTTACAAAACTCTTAAAATCATGGAGACCCTTCCACTCATCCGGCAAATGATTGTATATCTTTAAACTTTCATACATTAAAGAGTTTTTGGTAAAACCACTCCTGGGTATTGGTAATGGTATATTATGTCCATAACGTGTGTTGTGGATGTTGGGATTTATAAAATTTCTATACTTTTTGTGCACCAAGGAGACAGTCTCCAAAATAAAAATACATGGCAATGTAAGGATTTCTTCCTGAACAAAACAATGGCCTACAATGGTCCCTAGCCTTCAATTTGCATAAATACCTAAGCGCCCTCTTCTGTAGGACAAACACAGAATTAAAAAGTTGTTTGTTACAAAAACCCCAAAATGCAATCCCATATCTCAAATGAGACTCGACAAGTGAATAATATACCGACTTAGCCATGAGTGACCCCAGCCGCCCCGTGACAATACGAACAGCAAAGCATCCAGATGCCAATTTCTTGTTCAGACACAATATATGCTCTTTAAATTTTAAATCCGAGTCTATGTGCAAGCCCAGAAACCTGCAGCTAGCCTTATTTGCCATGAAATAATTGTCCACATTCAGATCATCCAACACAAACCTAAAAGAAATAGCACTAGTTTTATTTATCTCAATCTCAATCTCAATAAGCTTTATTGTCTCAAAATACACATATTTCATTGACAAAGCAATTCTTATTACTAATAGGTAAGCAATTAAACTTTAAAATCATGCAATACTTAAGTAGACTAAACAAATAAAATAAAATAAAATAAAATAAAATAACTTAAAATAAAATAAAATGGAATAAAATAGCAAGTTCCCAAAAACAAATTAGAAACCCACATAGTGGCTGAAACCTTAAAGAAAGTATAGAACAAAAAATACCACATTTAAGATCAAGATATGCGCAGTAAAAGTCGATCATTTTATCAAATAAGCTCACCACGAACAGTGTTATTAGTTGAAGTTGAAGTTTAAACGAATTATGTTATTTACTAAGTTATTCGGTTAAGATAATATTCCGTCAAGTTATAGAATGCTTTGGTTGCTAAAAATTTTTTAACTGTAGTGCGAAATAATTTGTAATTGTTAATGATTTTAATATCTTGCGGCAAGTGATTAAATATTTTGATGTTTTCATAAATTAATGATTTTTTTGTGAGTGTAGATTTTGGAATTGGCAATGGCAAGTTATTGTGTCTAAAATTATAATTTCTTTCATAAGAATAACCAAAGAATTTTTTGTATACCAAGCAGACTGACTCCAATATAAAAATGCATGACACCGTTAGTATTTCCTCCTGCCTAAACAGGGACCTGCATGATTCTCTGTATCCTTTTTTGCACATACAACGAACAGCTCTTTTCTGTAGAACGAACACCGAATGTAACAGACTGTCTGTTGTGTTACCCCAGAAAGCTATCCCATACTGTATGTGTGCATCAACCAGAGCGAAGTAAGCCGCCCTTGCTGCTTGTTTGCCAAGTTCCCGTGCAACTACTCTTATGACGTAACATCCTTTGGCTAGTTTTTTTGTGAGTTGGTCTATATGAATATCAAATTTCAGATGTGTATCAATGTGAATGCCTAAGAATTTTATTGTTGATTTGTTTTCAATGGTCTCGTCTCTTAGTTTTATGTCAGTCAAAGCACATTTAAAAGTAAGGATGTTTGTTTTTTTTATATTAAAACAGAGTTTGTTTGCTTCACACCATTGACTTATTAAAGAGAGATCTTTTTCTATGGTGGCACAGAAATTGATTAAAGACTTTGCACTCCACAAAACATTTGCATCGTCAGCAAAAGCAGTAACCGCCGCCGAGATTGGCAAGGATAAGAGGTCGTTGATGTACAACAGGAACAGAACCGGTCCTAGGACAGAGCCCTGAGGAACCCCCCGACTGATCGTCTGAATCCCTGATGCACTCTCCCCAACACCAACGAACTGATCTCTCCCCGAGAGTAAAGATGAAAACCAAAATAATGGCGTATCGCGAATACCATAATGATCTAGCTTCCGCAGTAGTATCTCTTGATCAACACAATCAAAGGCTTTTGAAAGATCGCAGAACACCGCCGCAGCAACCTCCTGATCATTAAGGCTAAGGTAAAGTCTCTAAAAAGGAGAAGACAGCATCGTTAGTGCTTTTAGCACTTTGAAATCCGAACTAATTCCCATTAATTATATTGTGCATGTTTAAATATTCTAAAAGTTGTTTTTTTACTATTTTTTCCATTATCTTAGACAGCGTACTCAACAGCGAAATAGGCCTGTAGTTTGACGGGTCGGTGTTATCGCCTCCCTTAAAAATGGGTATTACCATGGCCGTTTTAAGGCATGGAGGAAATATTCCAGTGCTAAATGACCTATTAATGCTTAAGGCTAGAACGTCAATGGCACTGTCTGGTAAATTTTGTAGGAGTTTTGAAGAGATATTATCTGTACCAGATGATTTTTGTTTTTTTATGGTCTTTAGTAAGTGTTTAATTTTATTACCATCGGTATTTTGAAATTTAAATGTTTCCGTGTGTTGAGCAGGTTCCAAATATGATAAGGGATCAATATGGGAGTTTAGATTTCTTGTTAATGTTGCAGCAATGGAAGTGTAAAATGTGTTAAGATCACTCGGATTAATATTAAGCTTATTCTTATGTTTTTGCTCAACGTTTCTGAATTCATTTATAATGTTCCAATACTCTCTGCCCTTGTTATCCGCATCATTAATTCTTTTTTTATAATAAATTTCTTTTGCCTTTTTTAATACGCTTCTGTAAATTGTACGGTACTTATTATAGTGTGCAATAATATTTTGACAAGTGGTAAACTTACGTATTGTGTGGAGAGATCTTAGATTGCGCGCTGAAGTTTTTATACCTTTGGTTATCCATAGTTTCTTCTTATTTTTAACTTTAATTTTACGAAGAGGAAAGGTTTTATTAAATATCGTTTTTATTTTTGTTTGAAATGACTGAATTGGATCTGCTGCTGTTAGGCATTCATACCAGTTTTGTTGGTTGGCTGAAATTTTAAAGCTATTGTAATTTTTACTACTATAAACTCTACGTTTTACTTGCTCTTTTTTGGGTTTATCACAAGAAATAATTAGTTTAGCAACCAAAGCTTCGTGATCTGAAAGTCCTGAAGGTATAACGCTACAGCTAAGGTTATCACACTCAAAATTGCTACAAAAATAATCTTTAATTTTAGAAGAGTGTTGCGTGATTCTAGTTGGTTCATTCACAAAGACGGTTAAATTAAACGAATTTAATAAATTGACCAGTAGTTTCGTGTCTGATGAATTTTGGTCTTTATAATCAATGTTTAAGTCTCCCGCGATGACAATTTTGGCGTTATTGGGAAACCTGTTTAAAATACCTTCAAGACAATCTAGAAATACATTAGTTATTCCTGATGGGGACCTATATATACACATTACGTAAACATTTAACTTTTTAACATTGTATGATGGAAAATTCAAACTGTTTCTCTAAGATAAAACTATTATAAAAGTCTATATTAGCAATTTCGTAGTTAGAAAGAACATTGTTATGCCCTAATATAAGTGTCCCCCCATATCCGTTTTTTCTAGAGTATTTTGATATGACCTCATAGTCTGGAATACAGCACATTTCGTCCTCAAACAGCCAGTGCTCAGTTAGAAGAACAAATGATGGAAAGTTGTTATTTTCAAGTAAAATAAGAATTTCGTCCGTCTTATTACGTAACGACTGTATATTAAGTAGAAAGAATGTGAGTTCTGATTCTTTAGCATGTTTACTAACGTCGTTGCTTTTTAATGTAAAAAATGTGATGGACTGTTACTCTCATTATTCCTACCCAAATTAACTATAAGGTTATCCAATTGTTCAGCTAACTTAACCTTACCTATATTTCTCAATACTAAGTATTTATTAGAGATGAAGTACATTGAGTTTAAAAAAGAATTAATATTTAAATATTTTGCAAAGGAGTTACGTAATTTTTCAAAGATTGTTACATTAAATTTATCAATAAATTTGTTTAATATTCTACGGTTTCCCCAGAGCGGCGCTGATAGCATAATTAAGTTTGTACGCTGACCTACCAATGACAACATTTCAATGGCTTTGGCATCTATTTGTCCTCCATGACAAGCGTTTTGTAAACCACCCGATATCACCACAAAGTCCTGCTTTGTAAAATTCAGTGTAAACTTGGACTATGTTTTCTAGTGTACCATTATGTTTGACAAGAGTCATCACGTTGTAGTTCTGCATGGATTGAATTTTTAGATATTTATGAAGGTTTACAACCGTGCTATCACCCAAGATTATAACATTATGGTGCTTTGTATCTTCTGGTGACTCATTGAAACTGTTTTTAATTGTGCATTCGCGCAGAGATGCCTCTTCTAGTTTTTTGTTTAGCTGTTGATTTTCTTGCTGTAGCACCTTTAATTTGTCTCTATGTTCCTCAAGATTATTCTTTAAATCAAATTGTTCAATTTTACCAGTTTTAAGTTCGCTCATTAGGGTTTCCATTTCAATTTCCAAAGCTTGTATTGATACAATCATGTTCTTGTTTAACTCTTCAGTTTCATGTAATTTAAGTTTTAGGTCTTTAAATTCCAATTCTAGTCTGTTATTTTCTTGCTCCTCACTCAACTGTTCGTCTTTGTGTTTCTTTATTTCTTTATTTAAATTTTCCATTATTTTAACCTGAAATTCTAGTTTCTGTTGAAGTTTTTCTTCCGCTTCGACAGCCATATCTTGGTAGCTTTTTGAAAATTAGTAGGTCAAATTAAACAATAATACAACAAACTGGACACCAGTTAAAATAATAGCTTTATTTGCGAAGACGATCCCAAACTAACCCTGAACGCTAAAGTAAGAATCACACCATAAAAAGCCATTAATATTGTTTCATATCAATGGCTTTTCATGATGTGATTCTTTCCTTATATTAGCATTCAGGATCAGTTTGGGATCTTCTTCGCGAACAAAGCAAATAGGTGCACCATCAAATTCATGATATTTATTATCTTGAATGTACGGTAGCACAAAAAATATCATATGCACCTCGACTTGTAGCGTGTACTTTTTTGGCCTCAAATGCTTGCAAACCTCGGCCCTACGGGCCTCGGCTTGCAAACTGCATCCTCGGCCAAAAAAGTAACACTTACAAGCCTTGGTACATAAATAACTATTCTATGCCCTGAACTTCACTCTAGAGGTAGATAGGACAAGTCTATTATCATTATGGACATTGAAATAGTCAAAAATCCTTGGTAGTAAAAAACTTGAAAGAGGGTCATGCATAATGTGCTGACCACAGTACAAAACCTGCTGCCAAACCTACTTATCGCCATCTGCCATAAAAATATTTTCCATTGAGCCCCTAATAGGTACTCTACAATGTTTTTCCGGAGATGTCTTGGACGAGTGGCGGAGCAGCGTCATATGAATGCAAGTCTGATATCCCATTGGTTGATATTGTGGAGTTGACTTCCCTTGTGATTCCTTGTTGGATATATTTTTTGGTTTTGATGCCCAATCTGACATTGTGTTCTTTGTTCGTTATAAACTTGTCCAATAACTCCAATAACACCTTTCCCAAAAACCATTAATTTCAAACGGCAATTATCAAATCATGGAAAATACACAGGTGATAGTATTTTCATTTTATGCCTATGGAAATAGGGTTTAAATGAGTCTGCAAAAAAAATTCTGATAATTGTTTTCTGTTTTCTCTAATATAAATAATAATAATAATTCCTTTATTAGGCAATTCAAACCAGGTGACATTCAAGATGGCGTGGCGGCCACACATGGGCCAAAAACACAAAAAAATATCTAGTTTCTGCCCGAATTAATAGTTTTAGTCAACAAATATTTTATTAAATAATGAAAATCAAAGTTGTGAGCAAAACTGAATGCAAAATAATTTAAATTACGCATGAAAACATATTCAAAACAAACTTGCTTGGCCGCCACGCCACATTGAATTTTCCTAATTCTAGCACTTGGCTAATATACTTTCTTTTTTACAATTTCACAAAAAAGACTAAAAATCAATAACAAGTATTGTTGAAAAGGCTAATTTGCTCAATATGCTTTCACCTAGTTCACTAAACTAAAGTAAAAATTCAACCTTACTGCTAATACATTTCCCTCTTCATTTCTGTTACAGACATTTCTTATGGTATCATTTCCCCGGGCATGTCCCTAATAAGTGTTTCTTCAATTTTCTTTTAAAAGAATTTAATTTAGAAATATTCTTGATATGATCAGGTAAAGAATTGAACACAATTAAAGTGCGTTTTTTTTTTAAAAATAAAAGTCAAACTGACATTAGGTTGGCAATACAATGTAAAATTGTCAATGCTTTCAAATTTTTCATGTAGAAAAGGCTTGTCTTGCCAACATAGTTACTAAATTTTTGACTTGGGGAATTATCTTTAAAAAAAAAACAGATTTTTTTTTTAACACAATCAAGCCTTTTATTATGTTGGCAATACATACAATGTAAAATTGTCAATGTTTCAAATTTTTTATGTAGAAAAGGCTTGTGTTGCCAACAAAGTTACTAAATTTTCAGAGATAAATACTATATAAACTGTCGAGAATGGAATCTCAGTGTAAATTTTGTTGTCAACAAAATTGAGCCAAGCTAGCGCCATCTACCATATTGGAAACTCACTATTTACTGGTTTTCCATCGACGCTACAGACACCTACTTCACATAGGGCTTCAAGGCATTTTTATGATAGATGGCGCCCTGTTCGCATTACAGTCGATCTGTTCAAATTTCTTTATTATAGACCTTGGGACATTATTGTTTGCTTAAATTAATTGATGTTTTGTTAATTAGATCAAAAGACAGTTCCTTTATCGATGGTTAACGATATCCTTAACATATTTATTCAAAGTTCTGATTGATGTTTAATTGAACCTGTCATTAATCTAATCAACAAAGATAAAAATGGATCTTCCAATCTATAAAATTTAAAGGTCTTCGTGAAACACACAAAACCACTTTGAAATCACTTAGACAACACACAGAAAGACGAAATGCAAGACCGGCGAACGAAAAACATTATGAATTATTAGTTATGATCAACTGAATATTTTGGCATATTGTCATATGTTGACATGTCAATCGCATGTCAATGTTATTGACATCGGACGTGTTCATGTGCTGGTATTTTACAATTCTGTTGTTGTCAGCGACATCTAGAAAAACGGAAAAGAGTTATTTTGTGGTTTATTACTGGCAATAAGAGATCGCAGGGCCTGCTAAATTTTTGACTTGGGGAATTATCTTTAAAAAAAAAACAGACTTTATTTGCTCCATTCTTTTTTGTTATATAAAAATTTTGTTTGCTTCTTGTTGGGTATGTAAAGTCCAACAAATACCATTTTAAAGTCACGTGATTTTTCTCTATCCTTGTTGAATACATCTCAAACAGCGGTGATAGTAAAATTGACAAAAAAATTGGTGTCTAATTATTGTCCATAAAATTCTTACCTGAAATAGAATCCGTCACTGTCATCAATTAGTTTGTTAAAGTTATTTTCGAAAATGATACAACGAACAAACACAGCTAATAATTATGACTATATTAACCTTTTTCCAACTCGAAAAGAAGCAAATAGAAACCAGGTACCCAATTCAAGTTCAAAATGTATTACAAGGGGCAGCAGAAGCGACAAAAGTGAGTCTCGCAACAATCGCAAGTATTAAAATTCCCATCTGATTGGTCAATACTACTTCAGAAACGCGTTTGTAAGATGCTAGTGGGAATATAGAAGGGATCGAGGTCAGGGCAGAGGTGGTGGAGTGGGTTTTTATGTGAAAAGCTCATTGGGATGTGAATGTCTGAATTTATCAAGCCCCTTAATAATTGAAGGCTATGAGCACTATCGGTTACGTATAAATCTGGAAAAAGCAGTTTCGATATCTGTTGGTGTAATCTATAGGGTGGGAAATAATGTAGCGGAGTGTGTAAATTTACTGGACGATCTACTACCAGAACTTTTACCCATAGATGAATACATTGTTGTATTTGGAGATTTAAACATAAATATGTTCAATATTTATAATCCTGTATATAAGTTATTTGATAGCTACGGGTTTATCCAGGTGATTAATGAGCCAACCCGTGTAACTGGCACAACTGCTACACTACTCGATCCGATTTTTGTAAATGATAGTCAGGTAGTAAGGGAAAGTGGTACAATGGATTCAAATGGCGTGAGTGACCATTTCTTGACATTTTGTAAAGTAAGTATATTCTGGGTTAAAAAGTTTGAAAAGTTTTTGACAGTGAGAGATTATAAAAATTTTGATGAAAATTCTTTTTTAAATATTTTGTCAGAAATACATTGGGATGATTTGTACTACATCCATGATATTGAAGACAAAGTAGAATTTTTTACCCAGAATATAAAGCAGTTGTTTGACATATTTGCACCAATTAAAACGATTAGAGTAAGTAAGCCCTATTCCCCATGGCTCACTTTTGCAATTAGAGCGTTGATGAGGGAAAGGGATAAGGCTAGATGCAAGGCTAAAATGAATAAAACTGCAGAAAATCTTGATGAATATAAAAGACTCAGAAATTTCACTAAACTATCAATACGTAGAGAAAAGTCAGCATACCTAGACTATTTAGAAAGGCAGAAAAATTCCAAAAAAGTCTGGCAAACTTTAAGGGATTTAAATGTTTATATGCCAACGAATAAAATCTCAGATATTCCTCCAGCACTGGCGGATTCAGAAAGAATAAATGGGTATTTCTGCAGTGTTTTTCTAAAAACAAACAACTGTATTATAATGGTAATAGGAAAGATGATCAAATTAAATTTACTTTTGGCATGGTGCTTCCATCTGAAGTTTGCAAGTACATTCATAGTATGGAATCGAACGCAGCTGGTATTGATGGCATCACCCTGCAAATGTTGAAACAATGTTTACATGTTGTTATACTACATATTACCCACATTATAAATTGCTGCCTTGAGAGGGGATACTTTCCCAACCAGTGGAAAGATTCCATTGTCTGTCCCCTGCCCAAATCTTATTCTGAACCGGTTAATTTCTCGGATTTAAGACCAGTCAGTTTGCTTCCTGTTATTTCTAAAATTTTGGAAAAAGTAGCACATGCCCAGATAACAGAATATTTCAATAATAATAAGTTTTTTCCAGTACACCAATCAGGCTTTCGGGGGAGTCACAGCACAACCACAGCTCTCTTGAATATTACCGATAATATTGTAAAAATACTCGATAGAAAGATGGCTGCTATTTTGGTTTTGTTAGATTACTCTAAAGCGTTCGATGTTATAGACCATGATCTAATGTGTGCCAAATTATCTTTTTATGGGTTCGATGAGAGGGCTTGTTCTTTTTTTGGGAGCTATTTGAGAGATCGTCGACAGTTTGTCAGGTTGCATGGAAACATCTCTCAGCCAAAAAGTGTTGTCTCAGGGGTACCCCAAGGGTCTATATTGGGGCCGTTGTTGTACATTATTTATACAGCAGATATGTTCTCAAGTGCTTCATTTTCTCATATTCAGTCATATGCAGACGACACACAACAAGTTTTGATCCTGATTATCCGGAGCGGGCCGCGGAGCTCTTGAATTTGGACTTGTCAAATGTAGTCAAATTTTCAAGGGAGCACAACTTGAAGATTAATCCCAATAAGACTGAAATATTGCTTTTTTGTTCGGAGGGCAAAAGAAATAGTCTTTTAAATAGGCTC